TAATAATATAAAAATAATAATAATATAAAAATAATAATAATATAAAAATAATAATAATATAAAAATAATAATAATAATATAAAAATAATAATAATATAAAAATAATAATAATAATATAAAAATAATGAATAATGATGCTTTAAATATATTGTAAATAGAAAAACATAAGGATAAATAAATTGTAAATAATAAAAGCAGTTATGTAAAATAATTTAATATTAATAACACAACAAATATTAATAAATTAATTAATATTAATAAAAAGAAACATTTAATAATTTATTGTATACTATAGTGACTTACCCCACTTTCCAGAAACGAATTTATGTCGTTTGAGAGCATATCCGTATATAATTCTTTGATTTTTTCATGTATATTTATAAATTTTGTAGAGGACGTTGCCGAATTTGAAGAAGAAGAAGAAGTAGGTACAGCGCTACTTGTTGATGCAGAAGAACTTTCACGTTTTGCTGATGTACTAGATGAGCTTGATGATGAAACTGAACTACTACTACGAGAATAATTTGAGGGGGAACTGCTTTTACGACTGGAGCTTGATTCCTTTTTTAAACGTTTACTAGGTGATACAGTTGGAGATGACATACCCGCTGGCATTAAATGCGAATGATGACTATTACTTATTGCAGATGAGTGTGATGAGGAGGAAGAAGGACGTTTTTCAGCCTTTTTGCTATTATAACTACTACTTGCAGTACTACTACCGCTACTACTACTATTATTATTATTATTGCTATTATTGTTTATATTCATTTGTTGCGAAGTGTATAATAATAAGGGAGATGTAGCAGCGACAGCAATATTTGATAAATTTCCAGGTGTACTTGTTGACGTTGACGTTGACATGTTGGATGAATTTACTCCGGTTGATTTCAATAATTTATGTTCAGATACTACTTGTATCTTACTACTATTTGTAGCAGGCGATGTTATCGAAATACGATTTGAAGGATTTGCTGAGGAGGTGGAGCGGGATAAAAGCGATGAGGTAATATCATTACTCCCGACGCATAGTTCTTGTCCTGCTGCTGCTGTTCCTGCTGTTGAATCTGTTGATAATTTAATGCCATCGTCATATATATATGTTTGTTGATTTGATATTTTGGAACTATTTTGCAACAGTCTTGAGTCCAATTGCGTAATTTTACCAGTATAATTAAGGTTAATGTTAGATACACCAGGAGATAAAGATTGCGTTGGTGACAACTGCTGAATTTTAGTAGTTGCTTGTAGAGCAGTTTGTAGATGATGATATTGCGGGTGATGGTATAATATTTGTTGTTGATGTTGCTGCTGATGTTGTTGTTGTTTAAGAACGCTTGTACTGCTTGTATTATACCCCGCCGAAACTGAATTGATTGCATTTGAATTGGAGTTGGTATTGACGACAGAGTTGGAACTTTTTAGTTTTTTCAGCTTGTCATTTATTATGAACTGCAAATTAAATTATATAATATAGTTTATGTATATAAATATTTATATATTTTACTGTATATACATGAAAATTTATTTTTATTTCTATAAAGAAAAAAAAGCTATAAACAAGCTTTGAAATTGATTTGAAAGTAGTTTATTTCTATATAATAGCTTAGATAATTCCAATAATGTTTCTAGGGTTTATACTTTACAGTGCTTAGGAATCCCAACAATGGTACAACTAGGTAGGATACAGAGAAATATGACAATTGGTATACCATACCATAATTATTTTAAAAATTTTCGATAAGTTTACCATTAAAATGTGTAGTTCTAATATTTAGTATTTTGGTATTTTTTTAAATATTATTTACGATTTCTAAGATTGTAACTAAATATTAGGATATAACACTTTTAAAAATTAATCATCGACCATAAATCAAGTTGTATCAATAGCTTTGGTATGTCAGCTGTTTTTCAACTATTTCTCTTTAAATTTGTTTAAACTTATTTCTCGGTAAGAAAATTTCAAATAAGTTTATAAGATTTTGTTGTAATGACCTGTATCGCGAAACTATCACTGTATATGTCTGTAACAACAAAACTGAATTGACTCAAATTACATTTTTAATGCTCATTGATTAATAATAATAAATAATAACATTAAATATAGTCAACTGTTTTCGGGAAACTACAAAAAAATTTTCAGATTTATTTCAAACCATATGTTATACAAAACTGCGTTTATATATTTGCATATGATATACACACTGCCAGGAATAGATCTTTTTAATTCGTTGTAATTGTAATTCGTAATTGCCTTGGCTGTTTAAAACAAATGGACTTGACTAAGAAAGTCTTGACTTAGAAAAAATTAAGTCCTCGAATAGTATTTGTAGAGTTATCTTTTCATGTAATGTGAATAAACCTTTGATGTCTCGACACATGCCACGTTATAACGAAACATTATGTGGGTGGACGAAAAAACTGCATTTGTGACAAATGTGGTTCGGAGATAAAGGCTTCAAATTGAATGAAATCTGCACCGTACACTATGAATGACTGCCTACTTACACATATTGAAACTTTACAATAGGTTGAAAAAAAAAAATTGGACCCTATGAAGCGAACCTTTGTACGAATGCGGCCAATTACCGAATTTCCCTATAGTAGTTCGTCTACAAAAACTTTATTTTACTTAATATATCTATATATGAAATTTAAACATTTGAACGGCTACAAGAAGTCAACTATCTTCGTTAAGGTAGATTTGAGTGATCGCTCTGTAAAGGTCGATCATATTTTCTTACTTAATATAACCTCGGTTAACCATTTGACAATGTCTGGATGTAATGATTTATGTTTTTGGACCCTGGTGTTAAGGCTAATGCCTACCATTAAAAAGTTTTTTAAATTGCTATGAAGCTTTGGACTAGCAAATTTTTTTATTAGAGCGACTCGGCAATTGAAAAAGAGTGCACAGTCATACAAAGCACATCAACCAATATAATGATTGAAAGACAGAGTTTCAGATAAGTTCAAGATGCATATCAGTTTGACTTCCCAGTATGGCGCAATTTCTACGTAACGGTCAGCAAAAAAAAGCACCTGCGTTAATATGCTCAAAAAAGACTTTTATGTGAATGTATGAAGATTCGCTGGTTTGTTTGTTGATTGCCTGGGAGCCATTGTTTGCATTAAATGCACTTTTATCGTAAATTTAAAAAATATAAATATAAAAAAAGGTTAGATTGGGTGACTGGAGATTGTAATAAAAGGATTATTATAATAAAAAAAATAAAAAAAAACGTAGTATAACATTAATCGATATTTATTAGAGGCACTTTCATAATAAAAAATACATATTATTAATTAAACCTATTAAAACTAAAATCTCTTTATCATTAGATCTAAAACATTTATCGTTATACCCGGCCCAAGTAAATAATAATTGCTTAGTGTTTATGAGTAAGTACTGAATAATTAAATTTTGTTAAGGCATGGTTACAATCATTTCAGTAATTGATTGAGTCTTCTTAAAATATTAATTGAAATTTATTGACACCATATTAAAGTTAACTACTGAATTGAATTAAGTACCATTAAGAAAGGATTTTCATGCAGCACAAAAGATCAACTATAGTCGCAGTGCTTCGCTCCGTTAGGAGCTGGTACCCTATTTAATTCTATTTTTAAGGATTTTGATACAATTTTAAAAAAGTATTACCTTAGATATAGAATCTTATGCAATAAACTGTATTACAATATAATATAATTAAAAAGTTTTACTATGTCGATTGAATATTTGTAACACGTTTTATAGATTAACTTTTTTAACTAAGCCAAGGAAAATTTTTATATATATATATATATATATCTATAAATAGAAAGCATTTCAGATAACCCTACTATGTATGTAAGAATAACAACAATTTATATATTTGTTATACTAACATGTAGCAAACAGATATGAGTCTACAAATAAGATGGAATTAGATTGATTAATGTCATGTAAAACGTATTTAAAATCTTTCCCGATAATTTAATTTGATACTGAACTTTTATATGTGCGTTAAATTATGATGTTCATAACAATATAACTGAAATACAAAACGTAGCAAATAGTGAATAAATTTGTTTGTTGGGATAAATTTGTTTAAGTTAAGTAAAATTTTATATTTATTAATATAGCTGAATAAGACTTATATAAACAATTTAAAGATATTAAAATAATATATTCTTTTACATTTTAATTTAGTTCCATATGGCGTAATTTATTTTTAAAAACAGAAGTTTTTATATATCTAAAAACATTTTTTTAAAGTGTTGTTCACATACACATTAAGAGACATAGTAGGTTCCAAAAGAACGGTTGGGTCCTACTCCCGGCACCACTTGTCAGTTTTCAATAACTCAAGTAACGGTTCATCCACTCCCCGTGTAAATTCCACCAGGGATTACACAATGCAGCCACCCCACAGTTACAACAATCAACATCAAGATAGTTACATATCTCTTAAAAATGGAGTTATAATATTACCTGCGTAATGTGTATCATTCGTTTTTTAATACAATAATTTATATTGAATATAAATACATTGGAATAATATATAAATACAATTGGATAACTTACGAGACCAAGGAAAATAACGCAAAATTAAAATTTTGTTTATCAAAACATAATTAGTTGTGAAGCTCCCCCAACTTTTCCAGACAAAGTAAACATCAACTGAAACTTAAATAAAGCATCAACAATATTTAAGTCTTCAACCGATATTGCTACAACTAAGCGTAGTAAACGCTTCAAGGACAATAAAATCACCTGCTACACTGTTTGCAATTAAAAATGTAAAAATTTTATTAAATATATGTATAAGTTGGATTATGACCACAAGCATTAATGTTTATCAGCGATATGTATTTCCCACATTTACACCACCGCCTCAAAGAATTAAAAAATAATTCGAAGCATTAAGTCAGCGTCTAGAAAAGCGCAATGCAATTTTATTTAAATTGGTTATTCAACGAGGATATTTAGAAAAAAAATCTGCAACAAATTTTATAAAACTAATTGAACTACGAAATGTTGTAAATTTTTGCCAAAAAAAAATTGCACATTGATATCAGCTATATCATTTATCGTGTATCTTCAAAGTACACTAATTTTGTATATTAATACTGAGCTTAGCAAACTATCCATCTAATTAATATACAATTTCAGATATTAAATAATTTTAATTTCGAAAGCTTGAATGTCGTCGGTGAATTATTTTATGTTCGAAAGGATTTACTGGCACAATGCAAAGCTTGGGGTCATCATGTAAAGAAGCTGATGTAAGTAGAGATTTTTGTTTATTTCTATATATATATATTAATCTCTTTTTAGTGCCTTTCATACTAAGTAATTATTTACATTGTTTATGTTTATATATTATTTATTATTATTTCCTTGGTGTATTTACATTGTATTTATTATTATTATTGCAATGTATTTATATTCAATATAAATTATTAAAACGCAATATACACATTACGAGGTAATATTTATTACTCCATTTAAAGAGTATATGTACTATCTTGAATGTTGTTGTTGTAGACTGTGGGTGGCTGCTTGTGTAATCCCTGGTGAATTACACGGGGGGTGGTGAACAGTACTTGGTTATTGAAACTGACAAGTGGTGCCGGGATGTAGACCCAACCGTTTTTGGAACCTACTATCTT